GTCATATTTGGTGGGGTATTATTCAATCAAATACAAAGTGCAAGTTAAAATAATCTAACAGGTGACAGAACACCTTTATAAAGATTGAGCTATCTTTTGGCAAAATTCTTATTCTATCTCTAGACCTGCAGAAACGGAAGAAACTCAGTAGCTGCATTTCATCTCTCCCTAGCAGGATTCCTGAAATGTATTTTCCCATGGGCTTTGTTGCACATTTTTGGCGGTTTTGTTCACTGATTAGGTGGGGGTTTGTTTGTTTGTGGTTTTTTAATAGCTAAAGTCTGAGTAGAAACTAACAGCCTTCTGCTCTCTGGCTGAAGAACATCGGGTTGTTTTCCCAGCAGTTATCTTCCAGGAGTTTTGTCTCACTTCCACTGCTTCCCTCCCAGAGCTGCTCTCTCAAGGATTGAATTGCAAATAGCAAAACCTTTCTTTGAGATAGGACTCTGTCCCCCAGCCCTATTAGGATATATCAGTCTTCCCTACATGCCTTGCCTTGCAGACAAAGCCATTTTTATGGACCATGTCTGGAGCTCCACAGACCTCTTTTCCCCCCCAAAACAGAGCATTGTTGCAAGGTAGTTGTCTGCTTTCTCAAAACACCTCCCTTTGAAGTCTCCTTGTCTCAAAGCACGGAGTTGGAAAGTCTGGGAGCTCTTGCCCTAATCAGCCTTGCAGGATTCCCAGACTCCCCCCTTGTATGGGCAGATTTTGGAAAGCTGAGACTGCAGGGGTCACTGGGCTGGGTGGCCATGGTGTGTCCTTCTGGTGGGGCAGGAAACCCTCTGGCTACCCTGGGGCAACTGCCTGAACACACAAGGGTTTGGCTTGGGTGGGTATTGAAAGATGAACTGCTAGCTCAGGGAGAGTTCCTTTCTCTTTAGTGCTTCTTAGGGCACAACATTTCACCTTTAGAAGCTATTTACCACTGTAATAAATCTTCTTGATTTGTATTAGGAATATATTCTTGTAACAGTCTCATTTCATAAATCATATATATAGCCATAACATAAATTCCCAGTTAGGTGCTGGATAAAAACAGGATGAGGAGTTCAGCATTTTCCTTCCTTTCTCATATTTTCTGTATTCAGGTTTTTGCACTGACTCATGTAACTTCTGCTAAGCAATATTTATGCAAACTGCTCACTGGACAAAACAGCAAATATGTGCACCTAATTTCTCCTAAGAAAACACATTGATACTTGTATAAATTTAAATACGTATTTGAAAATACATACCTGAAAGTCCATCCATGCTATAGCATGGAAACCAAGAATATTTTTTTCTATTCTAATAATTCCAATTTCATGCATAAAAGAGTACTGAATTGAGAGTCTGGATTTTTACCAGCACATGACATTGATTCTATATGTAACTGGACTAATTACAGAGGTAAATTAATAAAGAACACAGAAACAGAAGTATTTATGCATGTCTAATTGTGTCATGTGGGTTTAATCTAGTTTTTATTAAACTACAAGTTCTGCAGTAAGACATTTGTAGTTTCCAATAGAAGTAGAATCCTAGCAGATATAACAATCATTCACTACTAGCTCTCAGTATGGTAAGAGTTTTTCTATTATGTTCACTGCAATGCTGAAAATAACAAGGTATTAGAAATTAATCACTGTAATTATGTGGTCAATGCATTACCTGTTTAAATTCATGTTTGGAAGCTACCTTGTTGAAAAACTCCTACGGGAAATCCTAATATACACTTTTTTGTTTTATGATCAGTGCTAAAATAAAGCTGTTTCACTGAAAATTGTATGGAAAGCCTTCCAGGGGAAAAGACAATGCCAGGTTCATTCTCCATGAGAAAGCTCATCAGGTAGCTTCTTGGTGAATTATTTCACCCACATTCAAATATATGTTAAAGTTTCAAAACTCATGACAAAGCATTTAAAGACTCTTCCAAAGATAGAGTGGTTTGGTAGGATTGCTTTTGGCAGTGGTTTCCAAGCTTCCATGTTTGAACACAGGCTAGTACAGACTCATCTGGCCTAATGATTATGTAGGGTACCTTGCAGAGACTGACTGAGAAGTGGTTGGTAAGATGCCACAGTATTGTGATCTCTGCTCAGATCCCACTTACATAGTCAAAGCATAATAGAGCTTCCCTCAGCCCCAGGCACTCAGTTTTGTATCTCAAAGAAGAGTGAGCTCCAGGAGAAAGGGAGTCCTTGAGCACATCTCTGACACCTTGAAATGACTGAGAATGGAATCCTGGGGCTACAGGTTCAGCTGATCTCAGATGCCTTCACTGGCTGTGACTTTAAGGCTTTACAGTTTTCCTTCAGCTCTCCCAAATTTCTTTTTCACTTCACTGAGTTGAAGACTGTGTTTCTCACAGAGGTGTGGCCTTGGAAGGCATTCACATGCCCTCCTCTTCATCCTCATAAGGCCAAGTCCGTGCTCTTCCAGGCACACAGTAATAGACAGCAGTGACCTGGCTTCATTCCATTTCTTGTGTTCTCAGACCTGACCCGACTTTCCTGTAACTCACGTACCACTTTTCACTTTTCAGGTTCCTTGGTTCCTCCTTGTGACTCCTTTAAGTCATCCTTCTACAGAAGGTGACTTTCTCTATTTTGTGATGCTGTGGATATACTTCTCTAGACCATGAGAAAGCTGGGAGATCTGTCTGTGCCACCCTTCCCATTCCTCCATAGAATTTTTGAGTTAGTGATAATTGATATGTCCTTAGAAATTAAATTGGAATTTCAAGGAATCTGTTCCAAGATAGTGCCCATGCATTTTTATTTCCATTACACTTATGCTTTCTGATAGGTTTCTGTCCTTTTGTACTTTTTTTTTTGCCTCTGGCTTTTTTCTCCCTTGTACAATATGTATTTTTCCAAATGCTGCTTTTCCAAGTGCTGTTTCCAACAGTATATTTTATTATACTGACAAGAACACCAACACCTCTGTAGATTGTCCTACAGCAAAGGCATGACAGAATAAATGATCATAAATAAGTCATCTTACATGATTTCTGTTTCCAGTCCTTCAGTTCAGTTCCTCCCTCCAAGGGGCAAGTGTCCTGGAAAACTGCTGCCTCAAATGGCATTTAAGACCCAAACCAGATGCTGACAGAACAGATGTGATTGCTGCCATTTGAACCCAAATCCCAAGGGTATGATAGAATGGTCATTTTGAAGTAATCAAAGATTGATAGACCCCATGTTACTTGAATTTTATTAAGTTATGGGGGTTCTTATTTTACATATTCTAACTGCTGCTGAGCGAGGTTACTTTTTTTAAGTCACAGAATTCTGATATTGCATATGTCTTGCAGAAAGATACAAAGCTGCAGTTTGGATGGCTTAAACTCTCCATATCTCACTTTCCCCTGTGTAAAGTAGGATTAAATAACTTTTTTTGGTGTCATTTATACTGACATCTTTGGCACAGAAAGTTCAGTTGAAGGCTTTGCTACCGCTTTAGCTATGTTCTCACAAAAAGTCACACTAGCTCGTGATGGAGAGTTTGCTGCATCACATTGC